CAGAGAACCTGACAGAGAACCTGACAGAGAACCTGACAGAGAACCTGACAGAGAACCTGACAGAAAACCTACAGAGAACCTGACGGAGAAGCTACAGAGAACCTGACAGAGAACCTACAGAGAACCTGACAGAGAAGCTGACAGAAAACCTACAGAGAACCTACAGAGAACCTGACAGAGAACCTGACAGAGAAACTACAGAGAACCTGACAGAGAACCTACAGAGAACCTACGGAGAACCTGACAGAGAACCTGACAGAGACCCTACAGAGAAGCTTCAAAGAACCTGACAGAGAAGCTACAGAGAACCTACAGAGAACCTGACAGAGACCTTACAAAGAACCTACAGAGAACCTGATAGAAAACCTACAGAGAACCTACAAAGAACCTACAGAGAACCTGACAGAAAACCTACAGAGAACCTGACAGAGAACCTGACAGAGAACCTACAGAGAACCTGACAGAAAACCTGACAGAGAACCTACAGAGAACCTGACAGAGAACCTGACAGAGAACCTACGGAGAACCTGACAGAGAACCTGACAGAGAACCTACAGAGAACCTGACAGAGAACCTGACAGAGAACCTACAGAAAACTTGACAGACAACCTGACGGAGAACCTGACAGAGAATCTGACAGAGAACCTGACAGAGAACCTGACAGAGAACCTACAGAGAACCTGACAGAGAACCTACAAGGAACTTGACAGACAACCTGACAGAGAACCTACAGAGAACCTGACAGAGAACCTGACAAAGAACCTGACAGAGAACCTGACAGATAACCTACAGAGAACCTACAGACAACCTGAGAGAGAACCTGACAGAGAACCTGACAAAGAACCTGACAGAGAACCTGAGAGAGAACCTGACAGAGAACCTACAGAGAACCTGACAGAGAACCTACAAGGAACCTGACAGACAACCCGACAGAGAACCTGACAGAGAACCTACAGAGAACCTACAGACAACCTGACAGAGAACCTGACAGAGAACCTTACAGAGAACCTAACAGAGAACCTGACAGAGAACCTACAAGGAACCTGACAGACAACCTGACAGAGAACCTGACAGAGAACCTACAGAGAACCTGACAGAGAACCTGACAAAGAACCTGACAGAGAACCTGACAGATAACCTACAGAGAACCTACAGACAACCTGAGAGAGAACCTGACAGAGAACCTGACAAAGAACCTGACAGAGAACCTGTGAGAGAACCTGACAGAGAACCTACAGAGAACCTGACAGAGAACCTACAAGGAACCTGACAGACAACCTGACAGAGAACCTACAGATAACCTACAGACAACCTGAGAGAGAACCTGACAGAGAACCTTACAGAGAACCTAACAGAGAACCTACAGAGAACCTGACAGAGAACCTACAAGGAACCTGACAGACAACCTGACAGAGAACCTACAGAGAACCTGACAGAGAACCTGACAAAGAACCTGACAGAGAACCTGACAGAGAACCTACAGCGAACCTACAGACAACCTGAGAGAGAATCTGACAGAGAACTTACAGTGACCCTGACAGAGAACCTGACAGAAAACCTGTAGAGAACCTACAGAGAACCTACAGAGAACCTGACAAAGAACCTACAGAGAACCTGACAGAGAACCTACAAGGAACCTGACAGACAACCTGACAGAGAACCTACAAAGAATCTACAGAGAACCTGACAGAAACCCTGTAGAGAACCTACAGAGAACCTGACAGAGAACCTACAAAGAACCTGACAGAGAATCTGACAGAGAACCTACAGAGAACCTGACAGAGAACCTACGAAGAACCTGACAGAGAACCTGACAGAGAACCTGACAGAAAACCTGACAGAGAACCTGACAGAGAACCTACAGAGAACCTGACAGAGAACCTGACAGAGAATCTGACAGAGACCCTACAAAGAACCTACAGAGAACCTGACAGAAAACCTACAGAGAACCTACAAAGAACCTGACAGAGACCCTACAAAGAACCTACAGAGAACCTGACAGAAAACCTACAGAGAACCTGACAGAGAACCCACAGAGAACTTGACAGAGAACCTGACAGAGAACCTACAGAGAACCTAACAGAGAACCTACAAAGAACCTGACAGATAACCTGACAGAAAACCTGACAGAGAACCTGACAGAGAACCTACAGAGAACCTGACAGAGAATCTGACAGAGAACCTACAGAGAACCTGACAGAGAACCTACAGAGAACCTACAGAGAACCTACGGAGAACCTGACAGAGAATCTGACAGAGAACCTACAGAGAACCTGACAGAGAATCTGACAGAGAACCTACAGAGAACCTGACAGAGAACCTGACAGAGAACCTGACAGAAAACCTACAAAGAACCTACAGAGAACCTGACAGAGAATCTGACAGAGAACCTGACAGAGAACCTGACAGAGATTCTGACAGAGAACCTACAGAGAACCTGACAGAGAACCTGACAGAGAACCTGACAGAAAACCTACAGAGAACCTACAGAGAAACTGACAGAGAACCTGACAGAGAACCTACAGAGAACCTGACAGAGAACCTACAGAGAACCTGACAGAGAATGTACAGAGAACCTACAGAGAATCTACAGAGAACCTACAGAGAACCTACAAAGAACCTGACAGAGAACCTACAGAGAACCTACAGAGAACCTGACAGAGAACCTACAGAGAACCTGACAGAGAACTTGACAGAGAACCTGACAGAGAACCTACAGAGAACAGAGAACCTGACAGAGAACCTACAGAGAACCTGACAGAGAACCTACAGAGAACCTGACAGAGAACTTGACAGAGAACCTGACAGAGAACCTACAGAGAACAGAAACCTGACAGAGAACCCACAGAGAACCTGACAGAGAACCTACGGAGAACCTGACAGAGAACCTGACAGAGAACCTACGAAGAACCTGACAGAGAACCTGACAGAGAACCTGACAGAAAACCTGACAGAGAACCTGACAGAGAACCTACAGAGAACCTGACAGAGAACCTGACAGAGAATCTGACAGAGAACCTACAGAGAACCTGACAGAGAATCTGACAGAGAACCTACAGAGAACCTGACAGAGAACCTGACAGAGAACCTACAGAGAACCTGACAGAGAATGTACAGAGAACCTACAGAGAATCTACAAAGAACCAACAGAGAACCTGACAGAGAATCTACAGAGAACCTGACAGAGAACATGACAGATAACCTACAGAGAACCTGACAGAGAACCTACAAAGAACCTACAGAGAACCTGACAGAGAACCTACAGAGAACCTGACAGAGAACCTACAAAGAACCTACAGAGACCCTACAGAGAACCTACAAAGAACCTACAGAGACCCTACAGAGAACCTACAAAGAACCTAGAGAGAACCTACAAAGAACCTGACAGAGAACCTATAGAGAACCTACAGAGAACCTGACAGAGAACCTACAGAGAACCTGAAAGAGAAGCTACAAAGAACCTAACAGAGAGCCTACAGAGAACCTGACAGAGAACTTGACAGAGAGCCTACAGAGAACCTGACAGAGAACTTGACAGAGAACCTGACAGAGAACCTACAGAGAACCTGACAGAGAACTTGACAGAGAACCTGACAGAGAACCTGACAGAAAACCTACAGAGAACCTACAGAGAACCTGACAGAGAACCTGACAGAGAACCTAAAGAGAACCTGACAGAGAATATACAGAGAACCTACAGAGAATCTACAAAGAACCTACAGAGAACCTACAGAGAACCTGACAGAGAACCTACAGAGAACCTGACAGAGAACATGACAGATAACCTACAGAGAACCTGACAGAGAACCTACAGAGAACCTGACAGAGAACCTACAAAGAACCTACAGATACCCTACAGAGAACCTACAAAGAACCTACAGAGACCCTACAGAGAACCAATAAAGAACCTACAGAGAACCTACAAAGAACCTGACAGAGAACCTACAGAGAACCTGACAGAGAACCTACAGAGAAGCTACAGAGAACCTGACAGAGAGCCTACAGAGAACCTGACAGAGAACTTGACAGAGAACCTGACAGAGAACTTGACAGAGAACCTACAGAGAACAGAGAACCTGACAGAAAACCTACAGAGAACCTGACAGAGAACCTGAGAGAGAATCTACAGAGAACTTGACAGAGAACCTGGCAGAGAACCTGACAGAGAACTTGACAGAGAACCTACAGAGACCCTGACAGAGAAGCTACAGAGAACCTGACAGAGAACCTACAGAGAACCTGACAGAGAACCTGACAGAAAACCTGACAGAGAACCTGACAGAGAACCTACAGAGAACTTGAAAGACAACCTGACGGACAACCTGACAGAGAATCTGACAGAGAACCTACAGAGAACCTGACGGAGAATCTGACAGAGAACCTGACAGAGAACCTGACAGAAAACCTACAGAGAACCTACAGAGAACCTGACAGAGAACCTGACAGAGAACCTGACAGAGAACCTGACAGAGAACTTGACAGAGAACCTGACAGAGAACCTACAGAGAACCTGGCAGAGAAGCTACAGAGAACCTGACAGAGAACCTACAGAGAACCTGACAGAGAACCTGACAGAGAACCTACAGAGAACTTGACAGAGAACCTGACAGAAAACCTACAGAGAACCTGACGGAGAAGCTACAGAGAACCTGACAGAGAACCTAGTAGTAGTAGTAGTAATTTAGTAATCTTTATTTATATACCGCCTTTTCACTGCAGATCTGAGTCTCAAAGCGGTTTACAATTGCTAATTATGGGCATTTATCTCTCACTCCACACACAGATGGAGCTGGGTCGCCAGTACAGGAGGCGCATGCCAGATATGCCTATTGGACATATTTTTAGTGGTAGGGGAAACCGGAGTACCCGGAGGAAACCTACGCAGACACGGGGAGAACATGCAAACTCCACTCAGAAAGGCCCTGGTCCGACCGGGATTCGAACCCAGGACCTTCTTGCTGAGAGGCGAGAGTGCTATCCACTCAGCCACCGTGCCGCTGTCAGGTTCCTGACAGCGGCAGGTTCTCTGTCAGAGAACCTGACAGAGAACCTGACAGAGAAGCTGACAGAAAACCTACAGAGAACCTATAGAGAACCTGACAGAGAACCTGACAGAGAAACTACAGAGAACCTGACAGAGAACCTACAGAGAACCTACGGAGAACCTGACAGAGACCCTACAGAGAAGCTTCAAAGAACCTGACAGAGAAGCTACAGAGAACCTACAGAGAACCTGACAGAGACCCTACAAAGAACCTACAGAGAACCTGATAGAAAACCTACAGAGAACCTACAAAGAACCTACAGAGAACCTGACAGAAAACCTACAGAGAACCTGACAGAGAACCTGACAGAGAACCTACAGAGAACCTGACAGAAAACCTGACAGAGAACCTACAGAGAACCTGACAGAGAACCTGACAGAGAACCTACGGAGAACCTGACAGAGAACCTGACAGAGAACCTACAGAGAACCTGACAGAGAACCTGACAGAGAACCTACAGAAAACTTGACAGACAACCTGACGGAGAACCTGACAGAGAATCTGACAGAGAACCTGACAGAGAACCTGACAGAGAACCTACAGAGAACCTGACAGAGAACCTACAAGGAACCTGACAGACAACCTGACAGAGAACCTACAGAGAACCTGACAGAGAACCTGACAAAGAACCTGACAGAGAACCTGACAGATAACCTACAGAGAACCTACAGACAACCTGAGAGAGAACCTGACAGAGAACCTGACAAAGAACCTGACAGAGAACCTGACAGAGAACCTACAGAGAACCTGACAGAGAACCTACAAGGAACCTGACAGACAACCTGACAGAGAACCTGACAGAGAACCTACAGAGAACCTACAGACAACCTGACAGAGAACCTGACAGAGAACCTTACAGAGAACCTAACAGAGAACCTGACAGAGAACCTACAAGGAACCTGACAGACAACCTGACAGAGAACCTGACAGAGAACCTACAGAGAACCTGACAGAGAACCTGACAAAGAACCTGACAGAGAACCTGACAGATAACCTACAGAGAACCTACAGACAACCTGAGAGAGAACCTGACAGAGAACCTGACAAAGAACCTGACAGAGAACCTGACAGAGAACCTACAGAGAACCTGACAGAGAACCTACAAGGAACCTGACAGACAACCTGACAGAGAACCTGACAGAGAACCTACAGAGAACCTACAGACAACCTGACAGAGAACCTGACAGAGAACCTTACAGAGAACCTAACAGAGAACCTGACAGAGAACCTACAAGGAACCTGACAGACAACCTGACAGAGAACCTGACAGAGAACCTGACAAAGAACCTGACAGAGAACCTGTGAGAGAACCTGACAGAGAACCTACAGAGAACCTGACAGAGAACCTACAAGGAACCTGACAGACAACCTGACAGAGAACCTGACAGAGAACCTACAGATAACCTACAGACAACCTGAGAGAGAACCTGACAGAGAACCTTACAGAGAACCTAACAGAGAACCTCCAGAGAACCTGACAGAGAACCTACAAGGAACCTGACAGACAACCTGACAGAGAACCTACAGAGAACCTGACAGAGAACCTGACAAAGAACCTGACAGAGAACCTGACAGAGAACCTACAGCGAACCTACAGACAACCTGAGAGAGAACCTGACAGAGAACTTACAGTGACCCTGACAGAGAACCTGACAGAAAACCTGTAGAGAACCTACAGAGAACCTACAGAGAACCTGACAAAGAACCTACAGAGAACCTGACAGAGAACCTACAAGGAACCTGACAGACAACCTGACAGAGAACCTACAAAGAATCTACAGAGAACCTGACAGAAACCCTGTAGAGAACCTACAGAGAACCTGACAGAGAACCTACAAAGAACCTGACAGAGAACCTTACAGAGAACCTGACAGAGAACCTACAGAGACCCTGACAGAGAACCTGACAGAGAACCTACAGAGAATCTACAGAGAACCTGACAGAAACCCTGTAGAGAACCTACAGAGAACCTGACAGAGAACCTACAGAGAACCTGACAGAGAACCTGACAGAGAACCTACAGATAACTTACAGAGAACCTACAGAGAACCTGACAGAGAACCTACAGAGAACCTGACAGAGAACCTACAGAGAACCTGACAGAGAACGTACAGCGAAACTACAGAGAACCCGACAGAGAACCTGACAGAGAACCTACAGAGAACCTACAGAGAACCGACAGAGAACGTACAGAGAACCTGACAGAGAACCTGACAGAGAACCTACAGAGAACCTACAGATAACCTGACAGAGAACCTGACAATGAACCGACAGATAACCTACAGAGAACCTGACAGAGAACTTTCAGAGAACCTCTCAGAGAACCTGACAGAGAACCTACAGAGAACCTGACAGAGAACCTACAGTACTTTATTCTTGTTATATCTGCGGTTTCCCCACCGCTCTGATTAACTCTGATTGGTCAGAACGCTTCCCTCTGAGCAAAGCATCATGGGAGCTCGTCCACAGAACCAGGAGGACCAGAGGAATAACCAAATATGTTCTGCTGATCTTTCGGTGCCCATGGGGGGCGCCACTGAGCACAGGCCACTGAACCTCTGAACCATCGACTGCAAATATTAGTCCTCTCTGTGGTCCTCTCAGTGGTCCTCTCTTTGGTCCTCTCAGTGGTCCTCTCTGTGATCCTCTCTGTGGTCCTCTCTGTGGTCCTCTCTGTGGTCCTCTCAGTGGTCCTCTCAGTGGTCCTCTCAGTGGTCCTCTCTGTGGTCCTCTCTGTGGTCCTCTCTGTGGTCTCTCTGTGGTCCTCTCAGTGGTCCTCTCTGTGGTCCTCTCAGTGGTCCTCTCAGTGGTCCTCTCAGTGGTTCTCTCTGTGGTCCTCTCAGTGGTCCTCTCTGTGGTCCTCTCTGTGGTCCTCTGAGTGGTCCTCTCTGTGGTCCTCTCAGTGGTCCTCTCAGTGGTCCTCTCTGTGGTCCTCTGTGGTCTCTCAGTGGTCCTCTCTCTGGTCCTCTCAGTGGTCCTCTCTGTGGTCCTCTCAGTGGTCCTCTCTGTGGTCCTCTCTGTGGTCTCTCTGTGGTCCTCTCTGTGGTCCTCTCTGTGGTCCTCTCTGTGGTCTCTCTGTGGTCCTCTCTGTGGTCCTCTCTGTGGTCTCTCTGTGGTCCTCTCTGTGGTCTCTCTGTGGTCCTCTCTCTGGTCCTCTCAGTGGTCCTCTCTGTGGTCTCTCTGTGGTCCTCTCTGTGGTCCTCTCTGTGGTCTCTCTGTGGTCCTCTCTGTGGTCTCTCTGTGGTCCTCTCTCTGGTCCTCTCAGTGGTCCTCTCTGTGGTCTCAGTTTGTTGTGGTCTTTGAGTCATTTTCCAGTCCTGCGTCAGATAAATCCCCGTCGAGGTGAAACTGATTTGTCCAAATTTATCTTTTCATTTCGCTGCAATGCCTCAACCCCTCAAACCTCGTCTGAATCACTGTGTTGTCGTCTGCCCGGGGTGGTATTGCAGCATGTTAGCGCATGTAATTTTGGACATTTTTGAGCCGGGACCCGCCCCCACTGGTCTGAACATGCCGCCATCTTGGATCGCCGGGGCTTGGGGCTAGAGCCCTGCACTTGAGCCCTTGGCCCGAGGGCCCCGACAGCCCGAGGGCCGGGCTTCGGGCCGATGACCGCATAATGACCTCGGACACGGGCCGGGCTCGGGCTCTTCATTTTCAGAGCGGCAGAATACATTTACGAACGCACCCACTGAATATAGCGTTCTATCACGCTGTAGTGTTTGTTGTTCTGTGTAGTGTTGTCATTGACGGCACATAGCGTTACTTACGGGTGTGTTGCAGCATCTGGGCATATTCAGAAACCATATCGGGCTGGTCCGGGCTGGGGCGCCACCCCTTCGGGCCAGGGCCGGGCTCGGGCCCAGATAATAGGCCCGTGCAGGGCTCTACTTGGGGCTGTTCCTCAGATTCAAAGTACCTCTGGTTTGTGTTTGTAACTCACCGTCTGACTCTTTCGTCTCCAGGAGCTCCGGGTTCACTGTGTTATTTAGTGTTAGCTTCTCGGCGAGCTGCTCTGTTAGCTGCTCCGTTAGCTTCTCCGTTAGCTTCTCCGTTAGCTTCTCCGTTAGCTGCTCGCCGAGGCCGGGGTCGTGCGTCTCGATGCTGTGTCGTCTCTGAGGTCCATTGGCCAATGAGATCGGCTTCTGAAGCTCTGCCTCCTCCTACAGCCAATCACAGAGCAGTATTTGTTATCTCACACTCACCTCCACAGCTGCAGGACTGTCACCTCCACAGCTGCAGGACTGTCACCTCCACAGCTGCAGGACTGTCACTTCCACAGCTGCAGGACTGTCACTTCCACAACTGCAGGAGGACTGTCACTTCCACAGCTGCAGGAGGACTGTCTCTTCCACAGCTGCAGGAGGACTGTCACTTCCACAGCTGCAGGACTGTCACTTTCACAGCTGCAGGACTGTCTCTTCCACAGCTGCAGGAGGACTGTCACTTCCACAGCTGCAGGACTGTCACTTCCACAGCTGCAGGACTGTCACTTTCACAACTGCAGGAGGACTTACCTGGGCAGGGGGCGGGGCCGGTGTTTTGAGCACGCTCAGACCCCAAGGCTCAGAGTTTAACCTCTTCAGCACTCGGCCTCTGGGGGGGCGGAGTCTGGGCGGAGCCACGCTGAAGCTGAACGCACTCTCCACGCTCGCCACGTGCACGTCCGAGGGGGAGGCGGCCGAGAGCGGGGAGGGGCCCGGAGGAGAGGGGGCGGGGTTAGAGGAGGGGGCGGAGTCAGGGGGAAGGCCATTCACACTTGGGCATGTCTCTGCTGCAGTAATGTGTCCCTCTGGTGGACAGTGGTGGTATTGCTTCACAGTCCATGACCCCCTACCTCCACAACAGGTCAAGATGATGACGTCATGGCCGCGGCGTTCACACTCATCCAGCAGGAGGCGCAGTGCGGCGGAGGTCTGTGGAGGGGCGTGGTCACGTGTGTGGATGGGATTTCGTGAGAGGGCGGGGTCAAGGTCCAGGTCTGTGGTTTGATCCTGGTCTTGACTCTGCGGGTTTGTGTGTGTGTGGTCCTGACGGGGCAGAGTGGTGTTGTGAGTGTGTGTGTATTGTGTGTCAGTATGTTGTGTGTGTTGTGTGTGTTGCTGGTCCTGCAGGGCGTGCTCCTCACTGAGCATGTGCAGTAGCGCCTGACTCAGTGCGCTCTGTCCTCTGTAGTCCTTCAGACTGGGATCAGCGCCGTGCTTCAGCAGCAGAGCGATGACGCCGGCGCCTGCACTCACGGTCACGGCGTGCATCAGGGCACTGCGGCCACTGGTGTCGGCCATGTTGGGGTCAGCGCCTTGCTCCAGGAGGTAACGCACCATACGCTCGCGCACGTGAGGCTCCGAGAATGTGCACGCCGCACTCAGCGCAGTCTCGCCGCGCTCGTTACCCTCATTAATGTAAGCCCCGCCCTCCAACAGCAGACGAGCCAATCGTAGCTTCCCCTGAGCTACCGCCTTCAAGAGGGCGTGGCCCTCCGTCTGGACCGCATCTCCCATGATGCACCGGACCCAGGAAGTCACATGATGAAGACACACCCCACAGAAAGTCACATGACCTGAGAACAGAAACACAAGACCACACCCCAGTGTTAAAAGTAGAGCTGTCAAATTTCTCGCGTTAACTCACATTAATTACATTTTGCATTAACGTGTAAAGAAATAAATAAACGCATGTCCGAATGATCCGCCCAGTTATCCATATTATCACTCAGAGCCACCTGCCTGTGTGTAACCTGTGTGTAACCTGTGTGTGACCTGTGTGTGACCTGTGTGTGACCTGTGTGTGACCTGTGACCTGTGTGTAACCTGTGTCTAACCTGTGTGTGACCTGTGTGTAACCTGTGTGTAACCTGTGTCTAACCTGTGTGTGACCTGTGTGTGTAACCTGTGTGTAACCTGTGTGTGACCTGTGTGTAACATGTGTGTAACCTGTGTGTGACCTGTGTGTAACCTGTGTTTAACCTATGTGTGACCTGTGTGTGACCTGTGTGTGTAACCTGTGTGTGACCTGTGTGTAACCTGTGTGTAACCTGTGTGTGACCTGTGTGTAACCTGTGTGTAACCTGTGTGTAACCTGTGTGTGACCTGTGTGTGACCTGTGTGTAACCTGTGTGACCTGTGTGTGACCTGTGTGTGACCTGTGTGACCTGTGTGTAACCTGTGTGACCTGTGTGTGACCTGTGTGTGACCTGTGTGTAACCTGTGTGTGACCTGTGCGTGACCTGTGTGTGACCTGTGTGTGACCTGTGTGTAACCTGTGTGTAACCTGTGTGTGACCTGTGTGTGACCTTTGTGTGACCTGTGTGTAACCTGTGTGTGACCTGTGTGTGACCTGTGTGTGACCTGTGTGTGACCTGTGACTTGTGTGTAACCTGTGTGTGACCTGTGCGTGACCTGTGCGGCTGGAAACTAAAGTGGCTAAATTAAAGCTGGGGTACGTAGGTTTCATTAGCAGCTCGTGTTGGTTGTGCCCTAAAGGAAAAAGTTGTGAATCAAACAGACTTAAGAACATTTGGTTTGAATGACATGTGTCATTATATTTGATCTCATTTAACTTCAATTGGATTGGATTTGAAATAGAATGTTAAGGTAGAATGATAGGAGGGGGCAGCATCCTGCTGTGGGCTGCTTTTCTTCCGCAGGGACAGGGCTGATGGGAGATGGATGTGTCCTTCCATCAGGACAATGACATGTGTCACAAACACAATCTGACACAGAGCTGTTTTGTAAAGAGGAACGGGCAACACGTGCACATCTTAATCTGGATCTTTCTCAGACCTGATGCTGAGGCGCGTGCACGTGCAGATGCGCAGGAATGCGGCTGTGACGTCACGGCGCTCTAACACGGGATTCTATATTTACACCCGAGCACGCGCACACGCACTTGTCGTATCTGCAGCTACTCACCGTGTTTAGACCGGGTCCAGTCGTGGCTCAGACCTGGCTTAGTCCTGGTTCAGACCTGGATCAGTCCTGGTTCAGACCCGGTTTAGTCCTGGTTTAGTCCTGGATCTGCCGCGTCTGTCCGCTCTGTGCCGCGCGCACCGACGCCCCCGCGACGCACGCTCCACGGACACGCGCACGCACTGTTCTCCCTCACAGGTGCACGCGCAGAGTGCTGTGAGCATCGCGTGCACAAGAAGTTCATCTGAATGTTATTATTTTAATTATTGAATCAAATTGTTCTGTTGTCATGGAGACACCAGGACCAAACCCTAGTGATGACGTCATCCTTGCCGGGGGCGAGAGCTACTCTTACTAAAGAGAGCTACTCTTACTAAAGAGAGCCACTTTTACTAAAGAGAGCTACTCTTACTAAAGAGAACTACTTTTACTAAAGAGAGCTACTCTTACTAAAGAGAGCCACTTTTACTAAAGAGAGCTACTCTTACTAAAGAGAGCTACTCTTACTAAAGAGAACTACTTTTACTAAAGAGAGCTACTCTTACTAAAGAGAGCCACTTTTACTAAAGAGAGCTACTCTTACTAAAGAGAGCCACTTTTACTAAAGAGAGCTACTTTTACTAAAGAGAGACACTTTTACTAAAGAGAGCTACTCTTACTAAAGAGAGCCACTTTTAGTAAAGAGAGCTACTTTTACTAAAGAGAGCCACTTTTACTAAAGAGAGCTACTCTTACTAAAGAGAGCTACTCTTACTAAAGAGAACTACTTTTACTAAAGAGAGCTACTCTTACTAAAGAGAGCCACTTTTACTAAAGAGAGCTACTCTTACTAAAGACAGCCACTTTTACTAAAGAGAGCTACTTTTACTAAAGAGAGCCACTTTTACTAAAGAGTGCTACTCTTACTAAAGAGAGCCACTTTTACTAAAGAGAGCTACTTTTACTAAAGAGAGCCACTTTTACTAAAGAGAGCAACTTTTACTAAAGAGAGCTACTCTTACTAAAGAGAACTACTTTTACTAAAGAGAGCTACTCTTACTAAAGAGAGCCACTTTTACTAAAGAGAGCTACTCTTACTAAAGAGAGCCACTTTTACTAAAGAGAGCTACTTTTACTAAAGAGAGACACTTTTACTAAAGAGAGCTACTCTTACTAAAGAGAGCCACTTTTAGTAAAGAGAGCTACTTTTACTAAAGAGAGCCACTTTTACTAAAGAGAGCTACTCTTACTAAAGAGAGCTACTCTTACTAAAGAGAACTACTTTTACTAAAGAGAGCTACTCTTACTAAAGACAGCCACTTTTACTAAAGAGAGCTACTCTTACTAAAGACAGCCACTTTTACTAAAGAGAGCTACTTTTACTAAAGAGAGCCACTTTTACTAAAGAGTGCTACTCTTACTAAAGAGAGCCACTTTTACTAAAGAGAGCTACTTTTACTAAAGAGAGCCACTTTTACTAAAGAGAGCTACTTTTACTAAAGAGAGCAACTTTTACTAAAGAGAGCTACTCTTACTAAAGAGAGCTACTCTTACTAAAGAGAGCCACTTTTACTAAAGAGAGCTACTTTTACTAAGAGAGCTACTCTTACTAAAGAGAGCCACTTTTACTAAAGAGAGCTACTCTTACTAAAGAGAGCTACTTTTACTAAACAGAGATACTCTTACTAAAGAGAGCTACTCTTACTAAAGAGAGCTACTTTTACTAAACAGAGCTACTCGTACTAAGAGAGCTACTCTTACTAAAGAGAGCCACTTTTGCTAAAGAGAGCTACTCTTACTAAAGAGAGCTACTCTTTCCACAGTCGTAATAAAACAGACCTGTAACTAAAACAGTTAAATTAGACTCATCTCATTCAGGGTCTATCTGAGTCCTTTGGGGAGCTACTACCTGAGAGTGGAGAGCTACTACCTGAGAGTGGAGAGCTACTGGAAGCTATTTCATAATTATTAATAATAATGATGATAATAAAGCTCTTTCATGTTCTTATTCTCTCCACACACAGAGATGGTACACTCCTGTAGCCACAGCTGCCCTGGGGCAGACTGACACACACAGAGATGGTACACTGTAGCCACAGCTGCCCTGGGGCAGACTGACACACACAGAGATGGTACACTCCTGTAGCCACAGCTGCCCTGGGGCAGACTGACAGCAGTCTGTGATGAAATCAAACAGTTTCTACATTCCTTTTATTTGGTTGTTTCTAAAATGAAAAACACAGTTTTATTAAAACAGTAAAAAACATTAAAAAAAACAGTAAACAAACATTTAAAAAAACAGTAAAAACAGAAACAATAATTAACACAGTTTAAATTTGAACAAAAACATTAAAAATAGAATGAGGTCATGACGTCATCATCTAAACAGTTCTACAAAAGTGTGTGTGTAATGTGTGTGTAAAGGGAGTGTGTGTGTGTTAAGAGTGTGTAATGTGTGTGTGTAAGCTGTGTGCAATGTGTGTGTTTGTGTCTGTGTGTAATGTGTGTGTGTAAGCTGTGTGCAATGTGTGTGTGTGTTAAGAGTGTGTTTGTGTCTGTGTGTAATGTGTGTGTGTTAAGAGTGTGTAATGTGTGTGCTTGTGTCTGCGTGTAATGTGTGTGTGTTAAGAGTGTGTAATATGTGTGTGTTTGTGTCTGTGTGTAATGTGTGTGTGTTAAGAGTGTGTAATGTGTGTGTTTGTGTCTGTGTGTAATGTGTTGTGTGTAATGTGTGTGTGTTGAGAGTGTGTAATGTGTGTGTGTGTTTGTGTCTGTATGTAATGTGTTGTGTGTAATGTGTGTGTGTTGAGAGTGTGTAATGTGTGTGGGTGTGTCTGTGTGTAGTGTGTGTCTGTATGTAGTGTGTGTGTGTGTGTGTTAAGAGTGTGTAATGTGTGTGGGTGTGTCTGTGTGTGTGTTGAGAGTGTGTAATGTGTGTGTGTGTGTTTGTGTCTGTGTGTAATGTGTGTGTGTTGAGAGTGTGTAATGTGTGTGTGTGTGATTGTGTCTGTGTGTAATGTGTGTGTAATGTGTGTGTGTGTGTCTGTGTGTAATGTGTTTGTGTGTGTGTTGAGAGTGTGTAATGTGTGTGTAATGTGTTTGTGTGTGTGTGTGTGAAGAGTGTGTAATGTGTGTAATGTGTTTGTGTGTGTGTGTGAAGTGTGTAATGTTTATCTTGGTAACGTGTCATTAAAGCCGACGTCTCATTGGTTCATTTGCTTCTATTTCTACTTTCATCATTTCTATTTTTCTGCTACATTTTATTTCTACTTCAAAGAGAAAAAGTTTTATTTAGTTTTCAAATCTGTTTTCTGTTTTGGCAGCGTTTCTATCGTCACCATAGCGACAGTTAACGAAAGGCCTCTGGAGCTGGTCTCCGTGATAACAACAACCATATAAGGGCCACGCGCTGGTTTCCATGGTGACATGGTCTGGATGGCCACCACAGTTACCACGGCGACAGCTCCTTATATGGTCACAGGTCTCTTTTGGTCGCAGCAGTATTTGGCTCTAAATCTAAATATTTAAAAATGTAAAAAATAACACCTTTATTTTCAGAAAAAACTCTTTGAACGTTTTTCCTATTTCTGAAAATAAAACACTTTTCGGTTAAAGTTAAAATTAAAGTTAAAGCTGCGCCCTGGAGTTTACTGCAACTATGTTTACACCTGCAGACAAGTACAGGTGCTCCATTAGCTTACTGCTAGCTCACTTTTAGATCACTGTTAGCTCACTGTTAGCTCACTGCTAGCTCACTGCTAGCAACAGAACTTCCTTTATTTTATTAAAACATAAAATATAAAAACACAAACTAATTCTACGGTTTTATGTGAATGACTTTGGTTTGTTATAGCAACATTTTTGATGCCACAAAATTAGCATTAGCTGTGAGCTAGCACGCATTAGCTGTAGCTGTGAGCCACGTGAGACGATCAGAAAACACCAGAGTGCAGCTTTAAAGTCCTGACATTAAACACGTGGGTCAAAGAATCTGAGGCAAACATTGGTCAAACATCATTTTGGTTCCGTTCCAGCAGCTGACAGTTAAAGGCTAACGGCTAACTGCTAGCGGCTAAAGCTAACAGTTCAGCCTGAGGTAGAGCTCTTTGGAGGTGATGTCACAAGGAAGGAAGAAGACAAGGAGAGTCGCTCAGTCCAAATCTGGGTTCATGCTGATGGGAAAAGCTAACGCTGGGTGGCTAAGCTAACACATGATGGTTAAGCTAACGCTGGAATTCAGCCGTTTGGCTAATGTGAATCTGGACTAAAGACATTTTCCGGGTTTTTTTAAGTGTTGGTTTTCTGCTTTCAAAGGCACTGGGTTCAGTCCGACACAAAACTGTTGAAATAAACTCAAAAGCTGAATACATCATTTGTATGCTAATGCTAACGCTAGCTAAACAGAAGGCACTGGTTTGGTCAGCACTAGATCATACACGGAATCGGGACGGAAGTGGAAGTAAATATAACAAACTACCTATTCATGCCTAACCTTAACCAGCCGTTCCCATTAAATAACCCCAACCCACCTTAACCCTAACCTTAACCATCTTACTCAGACACCTAAAACTTAACCAGTCTCCACTTAAGGACTTATTAGTCTAAAACTAATTCGAAAGTAGGATTTGTCCTGATTCCGTTTATGATCTCGTGCCGACCGCACTGGTTTGTAGTCTTGCAGCAGCACATTTTCTTTATGGCTTGAATCCTTTTGTTTGAAGATAAATATGTGTAATTATATTTTTGCAACAGTGTAAACATCAGCGAGCGACAGGGACCGAGAGGGTGAGGGACAAGGGGGAGGAGTCAGTTTGGTGAGTGGTTTCTTCTCATTGGCTGGTTTAGTGCAGTGGGGCGGGGTCCCCGAGGCGGCAGGGACAAGTGGTGGTGGGTGGTTCTGGACTCTGCACAGACACGACGACAGGAGGCGAAGAGTTTATCTGGGAAAACAAGAGAACTTTTACTTACGGAACTCAGAAGAGGGAGGGTGAGAAGAGGAGGGGGGGGTGGAGGGAGGGGGGGGTGAGTTGAGGGAGGGAGGAGGGGGGGTTGAGATGAGGGAGGAGGGAGGGGGGGTGAGTTGAGGGAGGGAGGAGGGGGGGGGGGGAGGGAGGGGGGGGGGGGGGTGAGTTGAGGGAGGGAGGAGGAGGGGGGGGAGGTTGAGATGAGGGAGGGAGGAGGGGGATAACTCACCGGACTCAGCTCCAGGTCTCCTTTGGTCCCAGAGTCTGCTTTGTGTCCACGTGACCTGAGGACAGAGGACATCTGTTAGAGTCAGGGTCATTCTCTGAGGGACACTAGGAGACAGTAGGAGACAGTAGAGGCCAGTAGGGGACAGTAGGGGACAGTAGGGGACAGTAGGAGACAGTAGGAGACAGTAGGGGCCAGTAGGGGCCAGTAGGGGACAGTAGGAGACAGTAGGGGACAGTAGGAGACAGTAGAGGACAGTAGGAGACAGTAGAGGACAGTAGGGAGACAGTAGGGGACAGTAGAGGACAGTAGGGGACAGTAGGAGACAGTAGGAGACAGTAGAGGACAGTAGGAGACAGTAGAGGACAGTAGAGGACAGTAGGGAGACAGTAGGGGACAGTAGAGGACAGTAGGGGACAGTAGGATACAGTAGGAGACAGTAGAGGACAGTAGGAGACAGTAGAGGACAGTAGGAGACAGTAGGAGACAGTAGGGGACAGTAGGAGACAGTAGGGGACAGTAGGGGACAGTAGGAGACAGTAGAGGACAGTAGGAGACAGTAGAGGACAGTAGGGGACAGTAGGAGCCAGTAGGAGACAGTAGGAGACTGTAGGGGACAGTAGGAGACAGTAGGGGACAGTAGGAGACAGTAGAGGACAGTAGGGGACAGTAGGAGACAGTAGGAGACAGTAGGAGACAGTAGGAGACAGTAAGGGACAGTAGGAGACAGTAGGAGACAGTAGGGGACAGTAGGGGACAGTAGAGGACAGTAGGAGACAGCAGGGGACAGTAAGGGACAGTAGGAGACAGTAGGAGACAGTAGGAGACAGTAGGAGACAGTAGGGGGCAGTAGGGGACAGTAGAAGACAGTAGGGGACAGTAGGGGACAGTAGGAGACAGTAGAGGACAGTATGGGACAGTAGGGGACAGTAGGAGACAGTAGGGGACAGTAGGAGACAGTAGGAGACAGTAGGGGACAGTAGAGGACAGTAGCCGACAGTAGGGGACAGTAGGAGACAGTAGGGGACAGTAGAGGACAGTAGGGGACAGTAGGAGACAGTAGAGGACAGTAGGAGACAGTAGAGGACAGTAGGAGACAGTAGAGGACAGTAGAGGACAGTAGGAGACAGTAGGGGACAGTAGGGGACAGTAAGGGACAGTAGGAGACAGTAGGAGACAGTAGGGGACAGTTAGGGACAGTAGAGGACAGTAGGGGACAGTAGTGGACAGTAGGGGACAGTAGGGGACAGTAGGAGACAGTAGGAGACATTAGAGGACAGTAGGGCACAGTAGGAGACAGTAGGGGACAATAGGGGACAGTAGGGGACAGTAGAGGACAGTAGGAGACAGTAGGAGACAGTAGGAGACAGTAGAGGACAGTAGGAGGCAGTAGGATACAGTAGGAGACAGTAGAGGACAGTAGGAGACAGTAGGAGACAGTAGGAGGCAGTAGGAGACAGTAGAGGACAGTAGGAGACAGAAGGAGGCAGTAGGAGACAGGAGAGGACAGTACTCAGACCTTCGGCGCTGCAGCAGTAGCACCAGCAGGAGGCAGCAGAGGACACAGGCCACAGAACTGTGTAAACCAATGAGAAGAGAGGACCTGTCGCCGCGGGAACAGTCACATCCTGAAACCATAAACACACACAAAACAAATATACCATGTGTAAAGGTTGATTAGCACTTGTGTTGTATAAGAGAGCTGAGAATAAATACTTCTAAACTCTTTCATTATTTTATTAGAATATTTTATTTTGAAATTGTCCGGTCTAGACGGTGGGCGGCACGGTGGCTGAGTTGTTAGCACTCTCGCTTCTCAGCAAGGAGCTTCTGGGTTCGAATCCCGGTCGGAACAGGGCCTTTCTGAGTGGAGTTTGCATGTTCTCCCGTATCTGCGTAGGTTTCCTCCGGGTGCTCCGGTTTCCCCTACCACTAAAAACATGTGCAATAGTTCAGGGTGAATGAGAGTGTTTGCGATGTGACTTTTTAGGTTCTTCTAATAAGACAATTAAAGCAAAACCAAGCTAGTGCTGCTTAATTACCTGACATGTTTCGGCGGTACACTTCCGCCTTCATCAGAGGTGACACGTGATGATGTGACGCGTGTCACCTCTGATGAAGGCGGAAGTGTACCGCCGAAACATGTCAGGTAATTAAGCAGCACTAGCTTGGTTTTGCTTTAATTGTCTTATTAGAAGAACCTAAAAAGTCATAAACATAAGAAGACAAAATGAATTTTCTACATTTAGTGTTTGCGATGTGTTCATGAACATGTCCAAATACACTATAAACAAATAGACAGGAAGTAAATATATAAGCTACGATCTACAGCAGGAGACAGTAGCTCAGTTGGTAGAGCCTTTGAGCCTGATGGTTGTGAGTTCGAGTCCACCTCAAGACCTTCTCCACCAACTCCTGCTGTCTGCTGTCGTTGTGTCCTTGGGCAAGACACTTAACCTCTGGGAACAGCAGGTGCCACAGTGGGGCGGCTGCGGCTGTAAAGTCCCAAACTGTGGTTGTGCCCTTAGGCAAGACACTTCCCCCACATTAGAATGAGTCTGGTGTGTGTATGGTTGGTGGTGGTGGGAGGGGCCGATGGCACAGACTGGTTGCCTCGCTTCTGTCAGTGTGCCCCAGGGCAGCTGTGGCTACAGTAGTTTATCACCACCGTGTTTGGAGAGAGAGGATAATGATGTGAAGAGACTTTGAGAGTCCAAAAAAGCGCTGTTTGCATTATCATTACAGAGAAAGCAAAGATAAACACAGTTTAAAAGTAACAAAAACAAAGGTTTCACTTTAGTTGTCAAAAGGAAACAAGGTGAAATGTGTTAAGATTGTAGAGTTAGTTTAATAAATCTGTCAGTTACTGATAAATCTAAGGAATGGACATATTACACATTATTTAACCATCAGTTCTGACTTCAACAAGATATTACGTGGTGTGCACCATAGTGCTGCAACCAGGTGGTGTAGGTGCAGTGACGCTGAGTGACCAGCAGGGGTTTGCTCTTGAGCTTCAGTCTAGTCCAGGGGTCACCAACCTTTTTGAAACCAAGAGCTACTTCTTGGGTACTGATTAATGCGAAGGGCTACCAGTTTGTTACACACTTAAATAAATTGCCAGATATGGCCAATTTGCTCAATTTACCTTTAATTCTATGTTTTTATTAATAATTAATGATATTTATTTTGTGGAAAAACTTTTATATTTTCTCTAAGTGCACATTTTTCAAATTTAACAAATGATCACTTCTAAGACAGTCCCATTTAATCGCAATTAATCACATTTTAATCGCATATAAATATTTGACCTGAGAACAGTGATAAGTTATTTTTTTCACATGGATTTTTAGTTTACCATTGAATAATGACTGAATACATGAGGCTTAAGCAACACATGTTAATATGGAGTTTAAGGGATAACTTCTAAACATCAAATAACGTTTCTGTCATTGCCTCCACACTCTGACGACAACATATGCTCCTCCTCCTCACACTGACGACAACATACTCTTTTTAAGCCCAAAATCCACTGCACACGCTGTGAGCACTAAAGCTGGGCATGCGCTGTTTGCTAAAGCTTTTATAATACGTTTTTGATGTGTGCATTCGGAGTAAACATCAGCATTAGCAGCTCACACACCTGTGTCTCGCTCCTCCTCCTCCTCCTCCTCCGCTCACACAGGAGTCACTGCTCCTCCTCCTCACACACAGAGTCCATCGCTCCATACACAGCGCTTATTCCCGTCTAATTTACTCGAATTTAAAGTTGGTCTCTGCTTGTAATAATGTACTTTTGAACAAGAAAAGTCACGGAGCTCCGGTTGGTGCGTCAGTTCAATTGGTCCGTCTGAAACTTATTCAGTGAGGAATGTTCCGCGGTGCAAAAATACATACGATTAAAATGCGTAATTTTTTTAACGCGCTTTTTTGTGTGTAATTAATTAATCTTTATTAACTTGTTAAAGTCCCGGCTCTAGTTTATATGCCATTTGTAAGTTGCATGTAAGTATGATTTAAACAAGAATAGCACTGGTAAGTGCTGCCATTTGAGCTATTTTTAGAACAGGCCAGCGGGCGACTCATCTGGTCCTTGCGGGCGACCTGGTGCCCGCGGGCACCGCGTTGGTGACCCCTGGTCTAGTCTATGTAGTCTATGTGTGTGTGTGTGTGTGTGTGTGTGTGTGTGTGTGTGTCTGTGTGTGTGTGTCTGTGTGTGTCTGTGTGTGTGTGTCTGTGTGTGTCTGTGTGTGTGTGTGTCTGTGTGTGTGTGTGTCTGTGTGTGTGTGTGTGTGTCTGTGTGTGTGTGTGTGTGTCTGTGTGTGTGTCTGTGTGTGTGTGTGTCTGTGTGTGTGTGTGTGTGTGTGTGTGTGTGTGTGTGTCTGTGTGTGTGTGTGTGTGTGTGTGTCTGTGTGTGTGTGTGTCTGTGTGTGTGTCTCTGTGTGTGTGTGTGTCTGTGTGTGTGTGTCTGTGTTTGTGTGTCTGTGTGTGTGTGTCTGTGTGTGTCTGTGTGTGTGTCTGTGTGTGTCTGTGTGTGTGTGTGTGTGTGTGTGTGTGTGTGTGTGTGTGTGTGTGTGTGTGTGTGTGTGTGTGTGTGTGTGTGTGTGTCTGTGTGTCTGTGTGTGTGTGTGTGTACCTGTGCCACTCGGCTCAGACAGAGAAACCAAACGTTTGTTTGTGGAACTTTCGCCGTTTCCGTTAAACGCCACAAGATCCACATCATAGACTCCTCCTGGAACTGCAGAGGTGAGTGTGAGTACTGCTACTACTGCTACTACTGCTACTACTGCTACTACTGCTACTACTGCAACTACTGCTACTACTGCAACTACTGCTACTGCTACTACTGCTACTACTGCTACTGCTACTACTACTGCTACTACTGCTACTACTACTGCTACTGCTACTACTGCTACTACTGCTACTACTACTGCTACTGCTACTACTGCTACTACTGCTACTGCTACTACTGCTACTACTGCTACTACTGCTACTGCTACTACTACTGCTACTACTACTACTGCTACTACTGCTACTACTACTGCTACTGCTACTACTGCTACTACTGCTACTACTACTGCTACTGCTACTACTGCTACTACTGCTACTACTGCTACTACTGCTACTACTGCTACTGCTACTACTGCTACTACTGCTACTACTGCTACTACTGCTACTGCTACTACTGCTACTACTGCTTACTGCTACTACTGCTACTACTGCTACTGCTACTACTACTGCTACTACTACTGCTGCTACTGCTACTACTGCTACTGCTACTGCTACTACTGCTACTGCTACTACTGCTACTACTGCTGCTACTGCTACTGCTGCTACTACTACTACTGCTACTGCTACTGCTACTACCTGCTACTGCTACTGCTACTGCTGCTACTACTACTGCTACTGCTACTACTGCTACTGCTACTACTGCTACTGTTACTACTGCTACTGCTACTATTACTGCTACTACTGCTACTGCTACGACTGCTATTGCTACTGCTACTACTGCTACTGCTACTGCTACTGCTACTGCTACTACTGCTACTATGCTACTACTACTGAGATGAGGTCTTACTGAGGTGACACAGGGTGTGTGTGTTAATGTGTGCGGGTAGTTCCAGCGCCTCTCCTCCTGGGGGCCCCTGTCCTCCTGGGGGCCCCTGTCCTCCTGGGGGCCCCTCTCCTGGGGACACCCGGGTCACACGCAGCCTGAAGCCCTCCACTTGACCCGGTTTAGGCAGGTCCCAGTAAACCTGGATCGACGTCTGATTCAGAACTTTAGTGAAGAAAGTTGGAGGCGCAGGGACTGGAACCAGAAAGGACAACCAGGGTCACAGGTACCAGGATTACAGGTACCAGGATCACAGGTACCAGAGGGACCACTCCTCACACTCACCTCCTCCCAGCGTGGTGCTCCTCACCCCCTCCTCCCCCTCGCAGCCTCCTCCCCCGCTGTAGCTCTGCACACGGAGGTCGTAGGTGGTGGCAGGAAGGAGGTTCTGAAGGAGGTGTTTGGAGGTGGACCTGGACACGGCCTCCTGCAGCTTGGAGCTCAGCGGCTCTGAGGAGAACACCAAAGTATTAGAATGTTACTGCAGTACTATAGTAACATTATATTACCAGAGTATTAGAATGTTACTGCAGTACTATAGTAACATTATAGTACCAGAGTATTAGAATGTTACTGCAGTACTATAGTAACATTATAGTACCAGAGTATTAGAATGTTACTGCAGTACTATAGTAACATTATAGTACCAGAGTATTAGAATGTTACTACAGTACTATCATGTTACTATGGTAACACTATAGTATTATTGTGCTACTTTAGTACAGTAACACTATACAGTAGAATGTATAATAAAGAGGTCAGAGACTGGACCTCAGCCTGGACCTCAGTCTGGACCTCAGTCTGGACCTCAGTCTGGACCTCAGCCTGGACCTCAGCCTGGACCTCAGCCTGGACCTCAGCCTGGATCTCAGCCTGGACCTCAGCCTGGACCTCAGCCTGGACCTCAGCCTGGACCTCAGCCTGGACCTAAGTCTGGACCTCAGCCTGGACCTCAGCCTGGACCTCAGCCTGGACCTCAGCCTGGATCTCAGCCTGGACCTCAGTCTGGACCTCAGCCTGGACCTCAGCCTGGACCTCAGCCTGGACCTCAGCCTGGACCTCAGCCTGGATCTCAGCCTGGATCTCAGCCTGGATCTCAGCCTGGATCTCAGCCTGGACCTCAGCCTGGACCTCAGTCTGGACCTCAGCCTGGACCTCAGCCTGGACCTCAGCCTGGATCTCAGCCTGGATCTCAGCCTGGACCTCAGCCTGGACCTCAGCCTGGACCTCAGTCTGGACCTCAGCCTGGACCTCAGCCTGGACCTAAGTCTGGACCTAAGTCTGGACCTCAGCCTGGACCTCAGCCTGGACCTCAGCCTGGACCTCAGCCTGGATCTCAGCCTGGACCTCAGTCTGGACCTCAGCCTGGACCTCAGCCTGGACCTCAGCCTGGACCTCAGCCTGGACCTCAGCCTGGACCTCAGCCTGGACCTCAGCCTGGACCTCACAGACCTCACAGGGTAATAAAGTCTTGTACCTCCGTGTTTACGCAGATGGACCACGTATCCGATGACGTCGCTCAGAGCGCCTCCTGCTGGAGGAGGAGGGTTCCAGCTCAGCTCAATGGATGAGGCGCTGAGGGGCGTGGCCTGGACTGCAGTGGGGCATGATGGGAGGTGAGCGCCCTGCGTCAGAGCGAGACGTGCACTTGCCTGGTTTGTGCCTGAAGAGAGAGGGCGAGAGAGGGTGAGAGAGGAGGGGGAAGAGAGGGTCAGAGAGGGTGAGAGAGGAAGGGGAGAGAGGCTGAGAGAGGGTGAGAAGAGGGGGAGAGAGGGTGAGAGAGGGTGAGAGAGGAAGGGGAGAGAGGCTGAGAGAGGGTGAGAAGAGGGGGAGAGAGGGTGAGAGAGGGGGAGAGAGGGGGAGAGAGGAAGGGGAGAGAGGCTGAGAGAGGGTGAGAAGAGGGGGAGAGAGGGTGAGAGGAGGGGGAGAGAGGGTGAGAGAGGGTGAGAGAGGAAGGGGAGAGAGGCTGAGAGAGGGTGAGAAAAGGGGGAGAGAGGGTGAGAGGAGGGGGAGAGAGGGTGAGAGAGGGTGAGAGAGGAAGGGGAGAGAGGGTGAGAAGAGGGGGAGAGAGGGTGAGAGAGGAGGGGGGAGAGAGGGTGGGAGGAGGGGGAGAGAGGGTGAGAAGGGAGAGAGAGGGTGAGAGAGGGTGAGAGGAGGGGGAGAGAGGGTGAGAGGAGGGTGAGAGAGGGTGAGAGAGGGTGAGAGAGGAGGGGGAGAGAGGGGGGAGAGAGGGGTGAGAGAGGGTGAGAGAGGGTGAGAGGAGGGGGAGAGAGGAGGGGGAAGAGAGGGTCAGAGAGGAGGGGGGAGAGGGTGAGAGAGGGTGAGAGGAGGGGGGTGAGAGAGGGGGAGAGGAGGGGGAGAGAGGGTCAGAGAGGAGTGGGGGGGGGAGGGTGAGAGGAGGGGAGAGAGGGTGAGAGAGGAGGGTGAAGAGAGGGTCAGAGAGGAGGGGGAGAGAGGGTGAGAGGAGGGGAAAAGAGGGTCAGAGAGCAGGGGGAGAGAGGGTGAGAGAGGAGAGGGTGAGAGGAGGGGGAGAGAGGGTGAGAGAGGAGGGGTCTCGGTCTTGGTCTCACTCCCGGTCTCACTCTCGGTCCTCTTCTCGTTCCTAGTCCTGGTCTTGGTGTCGGTCTCGGTCCTGGTCCCGGTCTTACTCTCGGTGTCGTCTCGGTCCTGGTCCCGGTCTTACTCTCGGTGTCGTCTCGGTCCTGGTCCTGGTCTTGGTCTCGGTCCTGGTCTCGGTCCCGGTCTCGGTCCCGGTCTCGGTCCCGGCCTCGGTCCCGGCCTAGGTCCCGGCCTCGGTCTCTCTCTCTGGTCTCTCTCTCTGGTCTCTCTCTCTGGTCTCTCTCTCTCTCTCTCTCTCTGGTCTCTCTCTCTGGTCTCTCTCTCTGGTCTCTCTCTGGTCTCTCTCCGGTCCCGCTCCCGGCCCAGGTCTCGGTCCCGGTCTCGGTCCCGGTCTCGGTCCTGGTCTCGGTCCTGGTCCTGGTCCTGGTCTCGGTCTTACCTGCGCTGTTCTCGGCGATACACTGGTAAATAGCTTCATCGTCGGCCGTGATCCGAGCAATGGACAGAGTCCTGGAACCGGTCACATGATGTTAGCTCATGCTACATTAGCGTTAGCCTTAAGCTACATTTGTAAGACTCACGAGTTGTTCTTGCTAATGCTAACATTAGCATCAGTCTTTAGCAGTCGTCCGTTCTTCAGCCAGGTGACAGTGGGCTCAGGTACGCCCCTTGCTGTACAAGTGAAGACTGCACTGCCCCCAACAGGACGAGAGAGGGACTGCGGCCACTGCACAAACTCTGGAGGAGCTAAAGGCAAGGGTTACAGTGTGAGACCAGAGAGAGACCAGAGAGAGAGACCAGAGAGAGACCAGAGAGAGAGACCAGAGAGAGACCAGAGAGAGACCAGAGAGAGAGACCAGAGAGAGACCAGAGAGAGAGACCAGAGAGAGAGACCAGAGAGAGAGAGACCAGAGAGAGAGAGACCAGAGAGAGAGACCAGAGAGAGAGACCAGAGAGAGAGACCAGAGAGAGACCAGAGAGAGAGACCAGAGAGAGAGAGACCAGAGAGAGACCAGAGAGAGAGACCAGAGAAAGAGACCAGAGAGAGAGACCAGAGAGAGACCAGAGAGAGAGACCAGAGAGAGACCAGAGAGAGAGAGACCAGTGAGAGAGAGACCAGAGAGAGAGACCAGAGAGAGACCAGAGAGACACCAGAGAGAGAGACCAGAAAGAGACCAGAGAGAGACCAGAGAGAGACCAGAGGGAGACCAGAGAGAGACCAGAGAGAGACCAGAGGGAGACCAGAGAGAGACCAGAGAGAGAGACCAGAGAGAGAGACCAGAGAGAGACCAGAGAGAGACCAGAGAGAGACCAGAGAGGGACCAGAGGGAGACCAGAGAGGGACCAGAGAGGGACCAGAGATAGACCAGGACTTGTGGACCCTGTGGACTCACCTTGGACCTGCAGTAGTCCCAGAGCGGTCCTCCTGACCCTGGATCCCGGACGATTCGCTGAACAGACGTAAACTCCGCTGTGGTCGATGCTGGCGTCAGAGATCATCAGGTTCCCAGACCCCAGGACCTGGACCCCCTCCACTCCGATGGACCTGCCGTCTGAGCGGGACCAGAGGTGAGGAACTAAACCAGGACTACACCAGGACTACACCAGGACCCTAAGAGGACTACACCAGGACTACACCAGCTGCTTTAATTGTGTCCACTTCTTACCGAGGCGGGACCAGGACACGATGGGGCGAGGGTTGCCGGTAGCAACACATTCCAAAATGGCGGTCTGGTGAACGGTGATGGTCAAGTTCTGTGGACCAGAGAGAATCACCGGTTCCTGGTACAGACGAGGTCCAGAGACTAGACCAGAGAAAAAACCCTGTTAAACCAGTAACAAGAGACCAGTGGGAGACCAGTGAGAGACCAGTGAGAGACCAGTGAGAGACCAGTGAGAGACCAGTGAGACCAGACCCAGAGTCAGAGACCAGAGTCAGAGACCAGAGTCAGAGACCAGAGTCAGAGACCAGAGAAGGGGACCAGAAAGAGACCAGAGAGAGACCAGAAAGAGACCAGAAAGAGACCAGAGAGTGGCCAGCAAGGGAACACAGAGAGAGACTAGAAAGAGAAACCAGAGACTACAGAGAGACTACAGAGAGTGTAAAGTACAAAAGGGGGCGGGCCTTACCAGTGACTGACAGCTGGGCCTCGTCGCTGTATCGTGTGTTTGCGATGTTTGAGGCGACGCAACGAAACAAACCTGCGTCAGTGCGACTCACGGACGCAATCTGCAGAATGCCCACTGGGAGCAGTGTGTACCTGCAGGACACAGAACTGTAAGACCAGAGGGAGACCAGAGGGAGACCAGAGGGAGACCAGAGAGAGACCAGAGAGAGACCAGAGGGAGACCAGAGGGAGACCAGAGAGAGACCAGAGAGAGACCAGAGAGAGAGACCAGAGGGAGACCAGAGGGAGACCAGAGAGGGACCAGAGAGAGACCAGAGAGAGACCAGAGAGAGAGACCAGAGGGAGACCAGAGGGAGACCAGAGAGGGACCAGAGAGAGACCAGAGAGGGACCAGAGAGAGAGACCAGAGAGGGACCAGAGGGAGAGACCAGAGAGGGACCAGAGAGAGACTAGAGAGGGACCAGAGGGAGACCAGAGGGAGACCAGAGAGAGACCAGAGAGAGACCAGAGAGAGACCAGAGAGAGAGACCAGAGGGAGACCAGAGAGGGACCAGAGAGAGACCAGAGAGAGACCAGAGAGAGAGACCAGAGGGAGACCAGAGGGAGACCAGAGAGGGACCAGAGAGAGACCAGAGAGAGACCAGAGAGAGAGACCAGAGGGAGACCAGAGGGAGACCAGAGAGGGACCAGAGAGAGACCAGAGAGGGACCAGAGAGAGAGACCAGAGAGGGACCAGAGGGAGAGACCAGAGAGGGACCAGAGAGAGACTAGAGAGGGACCAGAGGGAGACCAGAGGGAGACCAGAGAGAGACCAGAGAGAGACCAGAGAGAAACTAGAGAGGGACCAGAGGGAGACCAGAGAGAGACCAGAGAGAGACCAGAGGGAGACCAGAGAGAGAGAGACCAATGAGAGACCAGAGAGAGAGACCAATGAGAGACCAGAGAGGGACCAGAGAGAGACTAGAGAGGGACCAGAGGGAGACCAGAGGGAGACCAGAGGGAGACCAGAGGGAGACCAGAGGGAGACCAGAGGGAGACCAATGAGAGACCAGAGGGAGAGACCAGAGAGAGACTAAAGCCGGGAGCAGGCAGGTGTCTCACCGTGGGTCTCCTCGGGTCACTTCCTGTCTGTTGCGTTGCCAGGTGACGTTGGCCTCTGGGACGGCGTTCAGCTGACAGCTGAGCCTCGCCACGCCCCCCTCAGGCACCACCAGGGACTGCGGCTGCGACAGGAACTTAGGCAGAGCTGAAGCACAGGTACAACTGTGTCGTACTTATGATTCTATATTAGAAAGTACCAGTTCTATCAGAAGTAGAATAATAGTACTTGTAGAAATATAAGTACTTGAAGTATTATGTTTTAGTATTTTATTGTGCAGCAAATTGTTGCTTTAAAATTTTTTTTTATTGGATTAGTGGAAATAGTACTTGTAGTAGTACTTGCAGTGGCAGTAGTACTTGTGTTTGTACTATTAGTAGAACACAAAGTAGTAGTACTTGTAGTAATAGTACTTGCAACAGTGCTTAAAGTAGCAGTAGTACTTGTAGTAGTAATTGCAGTAGCAGTAATACTTATGGGCGACAGTAGCTCAGTTACTGAGACAGTAGCTCAGTTACTGAGCTACCCACGACCTTCAGGCCTGAAGGTCGTGGGTTCAATTCCCACCTAAACACCGACTCCCACTGATGATTGCTGTCGTTGTGTCCGTGGGCAAGACACTTAACCCCACTTTGCCCAAAGCCCCCACTGAAAGATCAAGGCTATGCTCACACTCAGAGCAGCCGTCCTCCTGTGGACTCACCACCTGCAGAGGGTCAGTGAGGGGCTGGTGCTATGAGACTTGGGTGGCATCTCTGATTGCCACCCCCCTGACCCAGAAATGGATTAAAGGGTAGAAAATGGAAATGGATGGATGGTAATACTTATGGTGCGAGTAGTACTAGTAGTAGAACATGTAGTAGTAGTAGTAGTACTTGCAATAGTACTTAAAGTAGCAGTAGTAATTGTAGTCGTACTCACATGCCACTCGGACCCTCGCCCTGCGGCTCACTAACACCAGGCCGTTGCCGTTGGTTACCGCACACTCGTACTCGCCGGAGTCGCTCTGGTTGTCCTGGCGACGCTTGGAGAACTTCCTGATCAGCAGAGAGCCGTTAGCTAGCACGCTAACACGCTCGCTGGTCTCCACAGTAACGCCGTTCCGTCTCCAGGCAACACTCACAGGCCCCTCCCCCTCCGCCTCACAGTCCAATAGGAGCGGCCGATCTCTCACCGCGATGACATCACCAGGTTCTTTCAGGAAGTGCAGCTCTGAAGCCCCGCCCACTGGAGAAAAGAAAAGGTTTGATTAGGATTAAAGGTGATATCCCTGTAGGGTCGTCCACCGGGGAGACCAGAGGGAGACCAGAGAGACCAGAGGGAGACCAGAGGGAGACCAGAGGGAGACCAGCAGAAACATACAACACACTGTCCACAAACTACACATGGTCCGAGCTGTATTCAATTCAACTCAATGTTTTCTTGTACAGTCCTGAATCACCGCAGTTTTCTCGGACTTTACAAAGTTTTTGATTTGCCGACACAGATCAGAGAAACACCATGAGAGGCAGATCAATGTTCATATACGTCCCTCTGTATCTGTGCGTCTGACATTTACTATTTTACTGACATTTGCATATTTGAATGACTCCCTACTCCCCCCCTCCCCCTCCCCCTCCTCCCCCTCCTCCCCCTCCTCCCCCTCGCTCCCCTCCTCTGTCCTGCCTCTGGTTTCAGCTTCTCTCCTGGTTCTGTGTTTTCTCTTCTGAACTCGCTCTCGCAGGAGAGAGCTCCCCCTGCTGGACAAGTGCGCAGCTGCTCCAGAGCAGACGCAGCGACGGCCTCTTGTCTGTGACGCAGCTGCAGCTCATTTGCATACGCACCCCCTGCAGAGGTCAGAGGTCAGCCCCCGCTGCTTTCACATGATAATAACCCTCAGGAAAATAAAAGTGTCTGAGTTTAATTCAGCAGAGCAGCACTTGAACTTGACTTTCCCACACTCCAGGCTGTCTGCTCCTCTCTCCAGGCTGTCACCCCCAAGACCCAGACCCCAGACCCGGACCCTCCAGGCTGTCACCCCCAAGACCCAGACCAGACCCGGACTCTCCAGGCTGTCACCCCCAAGACCCAGACCCCAGACCCGGACTCTCCAGGCTGTCACCCCCAAGACCCAGACCAGACCCGGACTCTCCAGGCTGTCACCCCCAAGACCCAGACCCCAGACCCGGACTCTCCAGGCTGTCACCCCCAAGACGCAGACACGGGGAGAACATGCAAACTCCACTCAGAAAGGCCCTGGTCCAACCGGGATTCGAACCCAGGACCTTCTTGCTGAGAGGCGAGAGTGCTATCCACTCAGCCACCGTGCTGCCCAGAGAGGGGAGAGAGGGGAGAGAGGAGAGGAAAGAGAGGAGAGAGGGGACAGAGGAGAGAGGAGAGAGAGGAGAGAGAGGAGGAGGGGAGAGGGAGAGAGGGTGACAGAGGGGACAGAGGAGAGAGAGAGAGGAGAGAGGAGAGAGAGGAGAGAGATGAGGGAGGGGAGAGAGGAGAGAGAGGGACAGAGGAGAGAGGAGAGAGAGGAGAGAGAGGAGAGAGGAGAGAGAGGGGAGAGAGGAGAGAGAGGGGAGAGAGAGGAGAGAGAGAGGAGACAGGGGAGAGAGGGGACAGAGGAGAGAGGAGAGAGGGGAGAGGAGAGAGAGAGAGAGGGGAGAAAGAGGGGAGAGAGGAGAGAGAGGAGAGAGAGGGGAGGAGAGGAGAGAGAGGGGACAGAGGAGAGAGAGGGGAGAGGGGAGAGAGAGGAGGAGAGAGAGAGAGGGAGAGAGGGAGGAGAGAGGAGAGAGGGGAGAGAGGAGAGGAGGAGAGGGAGGAGGGGGAGAGGGAGAGAGGAGAGAGAGGGGCAGAGGAGAGAGGAGAGAGAGGGAGAGGAGGAGAGAGGGAGAGAGGAGAGAGGAGAGCGGAGAGAGGAGAGAGGGGAGAGAGGGGAGATAGAGGAGAGAGAGGGGACAGAGGAGAGAGGAGAGAGAGGAGGAGAGGGTGAGAGGAGAGGAGGAGAGAGGGGAGAGAGGAGAGAGAGGAGGAGAGGGAGATGAGAGAGAGGAGGAGGAGAGAGGGGAGAGAGAGAGGGAGAGGAGAGAGGGGAGAGAGGAGGAGAGGAGAGAGGAGAGAGAGAGAGAGGAGAGAGGAGAGAGAGAGGGAGAGAGGAGGAGAGAGGGAGAGAGGAGAGAGAGGAGAGAGAGGAGAGAGGAGGAGAGAGAGGAGAGAGAGGGAACAGAGAGAGAGTGGGAGAGTGGAGAGAGGAGAGGAGAGAGAGAGAGAGAGGAGAGAGAGGAGAGAGGAGAGAGGGAGAGAGGAGAGGAGAGGAGGAGAGCGGAGAGAGAGGAGAGAGGGGAGAGAGGGGAGAGAGGGAGAGAGAGGGGACAGAGGAGAGAGAGGAGAGAGAGGAGGAGAGAGAGAGAGGAGGAGAGAGGGGGAGGAGAGGAGAGGAGGGAGAGAGGAGACAGGGGGGAGAGAGGAGGAGAAAGGGGACAAAGGAGAGAGGGGAGAGGAGAGGGAGAGAGAGGGGAGAAAGAGGGGAGAGAGGAGAGAGAGGAGAGAGAGGGGAGAGAGAGGAGAGAGAGGAGAGAGGAGAGAGAGGGGAGAGAGAGGAGAGAGAGGGGACAGAGGAGAGAGAGGAGAGAGAGAAGAGAGGGGAGAGAGGAGAGGAGAGAGGGAGGAGAGAGAGGGGAGACAAACAGGGCAATCCAGAGCCCAGGAGTCGAATGCTTTTTGTAAACTTTTGCGTTTTGTTTGAACAAATTGTGAAGGATCTGGGTCTACAGCCTCAGTCCTGGGTCTACAGCCTCAGTCCTGGGTCTACAGCCTCAGTCCTGGGTCTACAGCCTCAGTCCTGGGTCTACAGCCTCAGTCCTGGGTCTACAGCCTCAGTCCTGGGTCTACAGCCTCAGTCCTGGGTCTACAGCCTCAGTCCTGGGTCTACAGCCTCAGTCCTGGGTCTACAGCCTCAGTCCTGGGTCTACAGTCTCAGTCCTGGGTCTACAGTCTCAGTCCTGGGTCTACAGCCTCAGTCCTGGGTCTTCAAAGCAAATCCATTAGTTTCCTCAGAGAAAACGAATGAACCTGCAGGGGTCAGAGGTCAGACCCCTCTCAGTCTGATCCTCTGCAGCTGCTCACTGCTGTCCTGTCTGTGCGCTGCAACACTGGAATTTCCCCACTGACATAGCATAGCAGTGTTCCAGCCCCTGATGAGACTGATGTGGAAAGTTCAGTGTTGCATTACATTTAGACCAATCAGGAGACACGGGGGCGTCAGTAACAGGCCGCAGACCACGGGTTGAGAAACACTGGAAGCTTCTGTGACATCACCCTCTGCTTCAGACTCGTTGTGTGACATCACCCGCCTCATTTGCATAATCCTGCATACGGCCTATGGGGGCTGAGGTCAAGGGTCACAGGGGCATGGGAAAAGCCCCGCCCCCTCCCCCCCACAACAGAACAACAAACATCTGCTGAGGACAACACACACGCACACACACACACACACACACACAAACATACACACAGAAACCAGCACCCTCAGACACCAACCCCCCCCATTGACCTCAGACCAGACAAGTCCAAGTTCAGACCAGGTCCAAGTTCAGACCAGGTCCAAGTTCAGACCAGGTCTAAGTTCAGACCAGGTCTAAGTTCAGGCCAGACCTAAGTTCAGACCAAGCCAAAGTTCAGACCAGGTCTAAGTTCAGACCAGGTCTAAGTTCAGACCAGGTCTAAGTTCAGACCAGGTCTAAGTTCAGACTCTGGACCATGTGCACTTGTGGCTCCTCGTTGAACTGCTTAAAAATAGTCTTGGGATTTTCAATATTCTGTTTTAAAAACGTTTAGTGACTCAGTCGTCAATGACGTTTTCTACTTTAAAGATGTAAAGAAAGACCAGGTCCAAGACTTGGACTGGACTTGGTCTTGGACTTGGTCTTGGACTTGGTCTTCATGTCTGTGCTTTATTCATTATTACACAACAATAAATCTGAACACTGAAAAACAGCTGGAAACAAACAGTATTCTGACGTCCAGACATTCTGATGGACCCAGACCCAGACCAGACCCAGACCCTGACCAGACCCAGACCCTGACCAGACCCAGACCCTGACCAGACCCAGACCCTAACCAGACAAGTCTCTGGTCCAACTCTGGTCTGTTTTTAGTTCAATAGTTTTAAATGAAGTCATTGACCTGAGATCAGCGCACACAGCAGCAGCAGCATCGTCACGAGAGCGAACACTACATCCACATGAGTCCTGGACCTGAGAGAGTCCTGGTCCTGGTCCTGAGAGAGCCCTGGTCCTGGTCCTGAGAGAGCCCTGGTCCTGAGAGAGTCCTGGTCCTGAGAGAGTCCTGGTCCTGAGAGAGTCCTGGTCCTGGTCCTGAGAGACTTATTTTAGAATGTAACTCCTCAGTCCTGCTCCGTCTCTGGTTTCTGAGTCTGGGGTCTGGGGTCTGAGCCTCATTTGCATAGATCTGCATGAGGCCCCTCCCTCCAGAGGAACACAGTGAGAGCCTTGGACACACATGACTGTAATGAATGTATTTTTATATATTTGTTTTTATTTGTTCTTTTTTACCAAAGTTATAAAAAGTGGTTTTGTCGTTTAGAGAAACAAGACGTGTGTACAGTTTGTGTATGAACATGTGTGTCTTTATGTGTGTGTCTGTTTATGTGTGTGTGTGTTTATGTGTGTGTGTGTGTTTAGGTTTGTGTGTGTGTTTATGTGTGTGTGTGTTTACGTGTGTGTGTGTGTTTAGGTTTATGTGTGTATGTGTTTATGTGTGTGTGTGTTTATGTTTATGTGTGTCTATTTATGTGTGTGTTTGTGTGTGTGTGTGTGTTTAAGTGTGTCTATATGTATGTGTGTGTGTGTCTGTGTTTATGTGTGTGTGTGTTTATGTGTGTGTGTGTCTGTTTAAGTGTGTCTTTATGTATGTGTGTGTGTGTCTGTGTTTTATATCGTGTTTGTGTGTTTGATGTGTGTGTGATGTTTCTGTGATTGATGTGTGTGTTGGTTTATGTGTGTGTAGTAGTTGTTAAGTGTGTCTATTATGTGTGTGTGTGTCTGTGTGTCTGTGTGTGTGTCGTGTGTTTATGTGTGTGTGTTTGTGTGTGTTTATGTGTGTGTTTGTGTGCGTGTATGTGTGTGTGTGTGTGCTTATGTGTGTGTGTGTCTGTGTTTATGTGTGTGTGTGTCTGTGTTTATGTGTGTGTGTGTTTATGTGTGTGTATGTGTGTGTGTGTGTGTGTTTATGTGTGTGTTTGTGTGTGTGTATGTGTCTGTGTTTATGTGTGTGTGTCTGTGTTTATGTGTGTGTGTGTGTGTTTGTGTGTGTGTCTGTGTGTGTGTGTGTATGTGTGTGTTTGTGTGTGTGTGTGTTTATGTGTGTGTGTGCGTGTGTGTGTGTCTGTGTGTGTTTGTGTGTGTATATGTGTGTGTGTGTTTGTGTGTGTGCGTGTGTGTGTGTCTGTTTAAGTGTGTGTTTGTGTGTGTGTGTGTGTGTGTGTATGTGTGTGTGTGTGTGTGTGCTTGTGTGTGTGTGTGTGTTTGTGTGTGTGTGTGTGTTTGTGTGTACATGAATGACAGATGAATACACTTGCCGTTGCCCTATTCTCTTTTGTGTGAAAGTGTGTGTTTATGTGTGTGTATGTGTGTGTGTCTGTGTTATGTGTGTGTGTTCTCTTCTGTGTGAAATTGTGTGTTTATGTGTGTGTCTGTGTTATGTGTGTGTGTGTTCTCTTCTGTGTGAAAGTGTGTGTCATGTTTGTGTCTGACTCTGATTTCGTCATTTGTTTGAAGAATAAAAAGATGAATAAAATGACTTCAGAAAACACTTTGGTTAAAGTCATTTCCTGAGTTTGATCTGATTCTCGGATCTGTTTTGTTGAAGCGCGTCTGTGTCCTCCCCAAAGCGGACTTGGGGGGCGCTGTCTGGAAGCAGAGCACATGCGCAGTGGAAAAGAGCTGTAGGGAAGCAGGGCGCATGCGCAGAACTTCGTGGGAACAAAACAAAAACACACGCCTCCTTTGGGTCCTGGACTAAACTAGGACTAAACCAAGACTAAACCAGGACTAACCAGGACTAAACCAGGAGTAAACCAAGACTAAACCAGGACTGAACCAAGACTAAACCAGGACTAACCAGGACTAAACCAGGACTGAACCAAGACTAAACCAAGACTGAACCAGGACTAGAACCCGATATGTAACCAGACTAGACCAGGATTACCGTGATCGCGATCCATCGTTTAACCCGGGCCAGACCCGGATTAAACCAGGTTTCTCCCTGGACCCGCAGAGGAGCAGGTACGCGCACACGCACACGCATCTCAGTAAAACATTCACGGAGTCAGAAACTAAAACAAATGTGGTATGCTCCACATGGTCTCTGAATGAGGTCCACAAGGTCTCTGTGAAGTCCACATGGTTTCTGTGAGGTCCACATGGTCTCTGAATGAGGTCCACATGGTTTCTGTGAGGTCCACATGGTCTCTGTATGAGGTCCACATGGTCTCTGTGAGGTCCACATGGTCTCTTAATGAGGTCCACATGGTCTCTGTATGAGGTCCACGTGGTCTCTGTGAGGTCCACATGGTCTCTGAATGAGGTCCACATGGTCTCTGTATGAGGTCCACATGGTCTCTGTGAGGTCCACATGGTCTCTGTGAAGTCCACATGGTCTCTGTGAGGTCCACATGGTCTCTGTATGAGGTCCACATGGTCTCTGTGAGGTCCACATGGTCTGTGTGATGTTTAAGGCGGATCTTTAAGTCAGATTTGAAGATATAGAACACACTCATAGTAACTGCTTACGCTGTAACCATGGTAACTGTTTACGCTGTAACCCTGGTAACTGTTCACGCTGTAACCATGGTAACTGTTCACGCTGTAACCCTGGTAACTGTTCACATTGTAACCATGGTAACTGTTCACGCTGTAACCCTGGTAACTGTTCACGCTGTAACCATGGAAACCGGATTCTCCTGAGACGCAGCAGGTGTGTTTAAGAGCGCAGGGTAAAGTCAGCGTTTAGGCCACGCCCCCATGTGGATCATGTGATCTGACTACAACTTTTGTCCAATCACAGAGCTCTGTCCAGCCGTCCAATTAGCTGTCAGCAGTGATGATGTCATCGCGAGGCCGGGGGCGGGGCTTCAGGACGAGCTTCAGTTTGGAACCGGATCAACCAACGCCACTTTACCCGGTAACAGTCTGCTCTATGGTGTCTGTGAGTCTATGGTGTCTGCTGTGACTCTATGGTGTCTGTGACTCTATGGTGTCTGTGACTCTATGGTGTCTGTGACTCTATGGTGTCTGTGACTCTATGGTGTCTGCTGTGACTCTATGGTGTCTGTGAGTCTATGGTGTCTGCTGTGACTCTATGGTGTCTGTGAGTCTATGGTGTCTGCTGTGACTCTATGGTGTCTGTGAGTCTATGGTGTCTGCTGTGACTCTATGGTGTCTGTGAGTCTATGGTGTCTGTGAGTCTATGGTGTCTGTGAGTCTATGGTGTCTGTGACTCTATGGTGTCTGTGAGTCTATGGTGTCTGTGAGTCTATGGTGTCTGTGAGTCTATGGTTTCTGTGAGTCTATGGTGTCTGCTGTAACTGACATGCCCCTCCCCCTGGCGGCGTGGGGGACCATGTGGAGCACTAACATACACTGACCATGAGACCATGTGACATGTGTAGGTCCTGGACCATAAGCCCCTCCCCCTGGCCGTGGGGGACCATGTGGAGTACTCGTTGGCGCTGAAGCAGGAGTTCAGAGGAGCGTCAAGAAACATGAGGTCGTTTATTCAGGAGAAAGTCCAGAAGAGAGACGTGGAGAGATACAGCGACAAGTACCATCAAGCAGGACCAGACCAGGACCAGGACCAAGCCATAGGTGAGACCAGGACCAGACCAGGACTAGTCTCTGTCTCTGTGTCCACAGCAGGATGCTCCCCCCCCCAGATCCTTTCACTGTTATAAAGTCACGTTTTGTATGTTTCAGACTGGAACCGGTTTCCCAAAGAGCTCAGAGTGCGATCACACAAGCCCCGCCCCCCAGGTGAGACCAGCCCCGCCCACCTGTGATGTCACATGGTTTACAGCTCGACCAATCACAGCCCTCCTCACTGACACATGGAAGTGCTGCGTCCGCCATCTTAGGTCGTCGTCATGGAGACGGTTATCTCACTATAATGAACTCCCTGTGTTTGTGTCGAGGCCCCAAAGTGATGTCACGCTCCAAACGAGAGGACGCCGAGAACGCCAAGAACACAGAGATGACCAGGAACCTGAAGAACCAGAAGGACCAGAAAGGCCAGAAGGACCAGATGAACCCTCCGTCTGAAGCTGGAGAGAAGCAGGACGTTCTGCAGAAACTGGAGGTTTGTGCAGAAGACTATGTGGACTACCTGTCCAGGTCCTGGTCCAGGACCTGGTCCAGGTCTAACGTTACGTTGTTATGAGCAGAGTCTGGAGCAGAAGGAGCCTCACAGTGATGAAGAGGAGGAGGAGGAGAAGAAGCCTGAAGAAGAAGAGGAGGAGGAGCAGGTGGACGAGGACGACTTTGAGGAGGTCAGTACCAGGGGCATGGTGCAATACCAGGGGCGTGGTGCAATACCAGGGGACGTGGTGCAATACCAGGGGGCGTGGTGCAATACCAGGGGGCGTGGTGCAATACCAGGGGTGTGGTGCAATACCAGGGGGCGTGGTGCAATACCAGGGGCGTGGCAGCCAAGTATTTGCTGTTGTTTGCTGTACAAACTCCAACGGGATTCCACTTCCTCCTCTCTGGTCTCTCTCTGGTCTCTCTCTGGTCTCTCTCTGGTCTCTCTCTGGTCTCTCTCTTGTCTTTCTGATATGTAACTACATGTAACTATAGGTAACTTTATGTAACTTTATGTAACTTTATGTAACTTTATGTAACTATATTTCAGGATACAGATTACATCATGTCGTACTTCGATAACGGAGAAGAGTTTGGAGCCGACAGCGACGACAACATGGACGAAGCTGTTTACTGAAGACGCCCCCTTTCCTCCCACCTCCCTCACCCCTGTCCTCACCCCTAACCCCTGTCCTCCCCCTCCCTCCCTCTAGTCCTCCCCCTCTACCCCCCTCTACCCCCTCAGTCTAAACCTTGCGTCCTGATCCAGAGTTTATTTTAATACGGTGTTTGATTCTATTTGACTTTTACTGTTTCTGTTGTTTTAACTTCAGTCCAAATGATTTTAAAAATATGTTTTTAAAATGAAGACTTTTGTTTTTTTGTCTCAAAACAAACACACACACACACATGCACACACACACACATACACGCAAACAAAATCACACAGACACACACACACAGCAGCAGAGTAACCTCACGTGTCTCATGGTTCCTGCCTCCTGCTGCTCACTGCTGCTCACTGCTGCCTCCTGCTGCTCACTGCTGCTTACTGCTGCCTCCTGCTGCTTACTGCTGCCTCCTGTTGCTCACTGCTGCCTCCTGCTGCTCACTGCTGCTCACTGGTGCCTCCTGCTGCTCACTGCTGCTCAGTCTGATCAGTGCAGGACGTAACTTGAGTATAGTCTGTGACAGAGCGCTGCAACACTGACATTTTCTCTGTGTCT